TTTGCTGACTGTTCAGGACAGATATGATGAAGAGCTCAAAGGTGCTTATAATTCATCCAAGTGGGAGCAATTTATTTTCCTCGTCTTGTGTCGTCCACTAGCTCTAGCAATCCATATCGATCCACAGCGTAGTTGAATTGCTCACTAGGGAAGGGAAAATAATAGAAACGGAATTGAACAGATTTGCTCTCCTCTATTTTGTTTTATCAGGAGACCCTGGCCATAAAAGGACCAGGCCTGCTTCTCCACATCCTCAGTCCTAGGAAGGGGCAGCAGGAATGCCTGGCTGTAGGTATTTTGGGAGACGTGTGGAAATCCTAGCCTGGCGTTTCTTTCCCCACAGTGCAGATTGTGTCATGTGGGGTTAATGGCTTTGCCATCCCACATCCAGCATACCAGAGACTCACAGATATACAGGTGACACACACTGATCCCAGCCACCCTTCTGAAGCCTTCTGGAAGCTGAGGTCAAAAGGTGGCCAGGCTATTCTGCAAGTGGGAGAAGAGGAGGTTGGGGAGCAAAACAGCCTGCACGCTCTTAGCTGCTTTTCCTCTCTGCTGGTAAGAGCAGGGATGCCTTTGAGAGCCGAGGATGCTGAGGAAAGCTGAGAGAGACAGGGAGTTATTTCAGGGAGCGGGTGGGGTAGTGCTGTCTGCCTAGGGAAGCTCCTTAGTGCCTCCGCCGTCAGATAACATTAGCGTTTCCACCCCTCTCTCCACAGCCCTCTCTCTCCCTCGCCCCCAACATGAAAGCACAGATGAAATTCCTAAAAGTAGACTACTGTTGTCTAGTTATTTTTAGTCCTTGCTGTTAGTATTTATCAAGCTTTTCAGTGTTACTTTGTCCTCCCACCCTTTTCTCCTCCTGCCTCCGCATGCTGGGCTTGGGATGGAAAGAGCACCAGAGCAGCTGGTGACCTCAGACACGGACCTTTGCAATCAGTCTCCCCCACCCCTGCCTTGAAGAGGAGAAAGGAAGATCTCTATTCCAGTAGCCTTGCAGAGCAACACAAGTGTTGGTGAAAGGGAACCCATTAGACTATCTAGGTGATGCTTAGTTAGGTCAAGGGCCCCCGCCAGAGAGCTGGGTCAAGGAATCCACCCATGCACAAAATGTCATAATGCAGGCAAAGTGGGTCAGAGGCCAGGTAAACAAGTAGAAATCAGGAGAAAGCAGATGCCAGAGAAGAGAATGGTATTAAAATCCATGGAAACAGGGATTTGAGGGAGCTGCAGGGCTGGGCTAAGATGGGTCAGGGCTGTGGTTAAAAAGGCCAGAGGAGGAAAGAGCTGCAGCACTGCAGTGAGCTATGGCTTAATGCTGGAACACTGCTTGTTCCCGCCTCACCTGCCTGCCCTGTCACCTGGAGGTAGCCTTGTCCAGAGCAGCCACGTTGGTCCACAGAGGAACTCCAGGACAGGTTCTAACAGAGGGCGTTTGAATGGAAGCAGGACCATTCCAAACATGAGTTCCATCAGTCTGCATGGTTACTGGACCCCTCGCCTGCCCATCAGTGTGTCCATTACTTAGGAAGCAGAAAGAAGTTGTTTCCTCTTGCAACTTAAAAAAAAATGTATTGGCTTGATCTTTGCATTCTTTTTCACTTTGTTATTTTTTTTTCAGTTTCTAAGAAAATATAATCAATGAAATAAAAAGAAAAACCTCAATGGGTTGGCTAACAGCAGAGTTGAGGGGGCATAGGAAAGAATCAGTGAACTTGTAAATAGAATAATAGAAATTACCCAACCTGAACAACAGAGAAAATAGACTGAAAATAAAAAAGGATAAGACCCTGGGGAACCCTGGGGTTAGAAAAATTGTCTGACATGTGTGTCGTCAGCATCCTGGAAAGAGAGGGGAAAGAGGATACGGCTAAAAAAGTATTCAAAGAAACAATGAAGAAACAATGGCTGAAAATGTCCAAACTTGGCAAAAGACATTGACCTGTAGAATCAAGAAATTGAGTGAAACTCCAAAAACAATTAACTGAAAGAAGTCCACCCTAAGACATCACAGTCAAACTTCTGAAAAATAAAGTCAAAGAAAAGATCTTGAAAGCAACAAGACAGAAATAACACCTTATCTATAGGAGGAAAACAATGAGAGTGGCAGTAGATTTCTCATGAGAAAACCCATATGCTAGAAGGAAGTGGCAAAACCCTTTTCAAATGTTGAAAGAAAGAACTGTCACCCTAGAATTCTATATCCAGTGACAATATCCTTTAGGAATGAAGTGGAAATCAAGGAATTCTCAGCTAAAGGACGACTTAGCATATAGCTAAGGGAATTTCTCTAAACAAAAGGAAATAATAAAAGAAGGAATCTTGAAATACCAAGAAGAACAAAGAATATCACAAAGAGTAAATGTAGGGGTAATTGTTCAGTCTTGCTATTCTTGGGCTTTATAAAAAAAAAAAAAAAATTACCATCTGTTAGGGTGGAAAGCCTAGTAGGTGCTCATGGCACTGGGGGAGAGAGATTTCTCGCGCAGAGATTAATATATAAAAGTAAAAGTTTATTCTTTACAAGGACAGAGAGAATGAGAGAGAATGAGAGAGAGAGAGAGAGAGAGAGAGAGAGAGAGAGAGAGAGAGAGAGAGAGAGAGAGAGAAGGGGGGGTGAATAGGGAGGCAGCATGGCATCCCGAAGAAAGAGAAGGGAGATGCCAACAATGAGGCCAAGTGACTCTCTGATTTTAAGAGGGACGAAGAGAAGAAAAATAGTGATGGCTGTCAGTTGATAACAAAAGTGGCGGCAGGTAGATAGCAAAAACTGCAAGGATGTCAAAGTCCAAGAGTTGGTTTCCTGCCTTTCCTTGGAGAAGGGATTATCATAGGAGATGTGACTCTGTCCTCAAGATATGGTTGAGGCTGTAGCTTATTGTTCTGCTGTTTACTCAGGAACTCTGTAAAAACAGATTCTCAAAAACAATTTAGAGAGAGAGATTTACATCTCTTTTCCTTCCATTCAGCTTTTTCAGAGGTTGTGCAAAACAGAGCTCCTGCAGGGTACCTGTTAGTGAGAGAACTCATCGGACTGATCTTTAACCATTACTGGGGACATTGTAGGGTTAGGTATTTTCTTGTTATGTTTGCAAGCCTGCCCCTTGCACATCTGTACACAGGTGGCTGACACTTGCTTTCTTTCATTCATCCATCGTGTTTCTAAGGTTCTCCCAAACTATTGCTTGCAGCTGTGATTTATTGATTTTCCTTGTTGTCTCTAATATTCCATTGTATGATTATCACTCACATTATTCTTTTATTCTCCTGCTGGTGAACATTTGTGTTAAATTGAGCTTTTAGCTGTTTTGAATAAAGCTGTTATAAATACTTTCTTGCATATTTGCACCAGGAGATATGCACAGTTTCTCTAGATGTCTCAGTCTGTTCGTACTGCTATAGCAAAATACTTGAGACTGGGTAGTTTATAATCAATAGAAATTTATTTCTCACTGTTTTGGAGGCTAGGAAGTCCAGGATCAAGGTGCTAGCAGCTTTGGTGTCTTGTGAGGACTGGTCCCTGCTTCGAAGATTGTTGCTGCACCCTCGGAAGGGGACAAAGACTGTGTCCTCACGTTACAGAAGGGTGGAAGGGCAAAAGGACACTACCTTCAACCTGAAGCCCTTTTTATATGTGCTGATCTCATTCATGAGGGTGGAGCCTCATGACTGAATCACCCCTAACGGCCATACCTCTTAATACTGCTGCTTTGGGGATTAAGTTTCAAAACGAATTTTGGAGAGCACACTGTCGTTCAACCCATAGCACTGGAGAATGTAGGTAGGAGTGGATTTGCTCAGATGGAGGCTAAGTGAACATTCAACTTTATAAGATAAGGTTAAATTGTTCCATATTGTTGTATCAATTTATACTCCCACTAGCAGTTTAATTTACATTTTCCTGATTACAAATGAGGTTGTTCATCTTTTTATATGTCCACTCACTATTCATGTTTTTCTCCTCTGTGACATGCCTGTCAGATCTGTTGTTCCTTTTTTCTATCATGTTGTCTTTTTTTTGAGACTAAGTCTCACTCTGTTGCCCAGGCTAGAGTGCCATGGCGTCAGCCTAGCTCACAGCAACCTCAAACTCCTGGGTTTAAGTGATCCTTCTGCCTCAGCCTCCTGAGTAGCTGGGACTACAGGCATGCACCACCATCTTGGCTAATTTTTTCTATATATTTTTAGTTGTCCAGCTAATTCTTTCTATTTTTAGTAGAGACAGCGTCTCACTCTTGCCCAGGCTGGTCTTGAACTCATGACTTTGAGTGATCCTCCAGCCTCGGCCTCCCAGAATGCTAGGATTATAGGTGTGAGCTACCATGCCTGGCCTGTGTTGTCTTTTTATGACTGAAATGTAACATTTCTTTATATGAATACTGATCTTTTGTTCATTTTGTGTGTTACAAAACTTGTCTCAGATATTGGCTTGTGTTTTTGCTTTCTTTATTGTACCTTCTGATGAACCAAAGCTCTTAATATTATAGTTGCAAATTTATCAGTCTATCCTTTCATGGTTAGCACTTTTGTGCCTTAAGAACTCTCCTATTTTTAAGGTCAGAAAGATGTTTTCTTATATTTTCTCCTAAAAGTTTAAACCTTTTGCTTTTCACAACCAAATCCTTAATCCCTCTGGAATTGATCTTTGGGTATGGTTCTTCCTTGACCTTGGGCTCAGTAAGTTATCCCAGCTTTTGTGAGAGCTCTGTTACCTTTTCATAGCTGAGTGAATGAGGAAGTCAGGAAAGAACATCCTCACGCACAGCAAGATCTGGGAAGGTGGCTAATTCTTGCTCAGGCAGCCTTGAAACAAATTTTGGCAAAATGACCTAGCTTTCCTTTGCTGTAGCCAACGCAATCTTGCTTTAGCGATTTTGCGAATGCTTGAGTGTCACATGTTAAAAGGTCAAAAAAAAAAAAAAAAACCAAAACCTAAAAGCAACGAATCCCCTCTCAGCATTTGAACTATGACTCATATCATTTAAACAAGCTACTTATTGAAGGAAAAATGCATATATTTAAAATTCCCATTTGTATAGTACTCAGAGTATGAGTGTGTGAGTTCTGCTTTTGGAGAGGCAACGCAGTTTCTTGGAAGTATCACTGGACAGGGAGTTGACAGACCTAGGTTTAAGTCTTGATCTGTCATTGCCTGGTTGAGAAACCTCTTTGTGTCAGTTCGGATTATGTTCAACAGCCTGTAAAAAGAACCATTCTACAGTGGCTTAACCAAATAGAATTCACTTTTTCTCATATAACAGCCCAGGAGCAGGCAAGCCAGGCCCAGTTGTAGTGGCTCGTTCTTTCAGTTTAGGCTTCGCAGCATGTGGCATTTGTCTTCATGCCTGTTAGTTCATGATTGCAAGATGTAGCTCTTCCTCCAGATTTATATCAGTGATTCAGACGCAAAGAAGATAGGCAAAGAAAAGAAGTGAATGCCAAAGTTCTTTTATAGTATTTTTCTAGGAGTCCTACTAAGTAACTTAAGTTGACATCTCCAGGGCCAAAACTGTTCCACCTGCCCATCGTTTTTAGCTGTAGTTTTAACAAATTCCTGCCCTGAACCAAATCAAGGGTCTGTAAGAAAAGCATAGATGGGGCATTGGAGAGACAACCGGCAGTGTGTGCCCCACTGCCCAAGCTTACAGTGGGGATGCCTGCCCACCACCAGCAGGGTTGATTGGATGACAAAATGGAAGATCAAATGCAAGAGTACTTAATACACTATAAATCATAGTTCATGAACAGAGTGGAAATATTCTGATCTATTTTCTCGGAGAGCAAATCCAGCTTTAATAGGAAGTCCAACCAAATGAGGAGCCTTGGGTAATCAATATCTATTGACCCTCAGCTCATTCTGTATCAGGCATCTTCAGATAACCCAAGTACTAGTGTTTTCATAGCTACAGGTACACATCCTCAAATGTCAGTCTTCTGATTGTTGCCGAGCATTGTGGTGGTGGACATTTGTTGGTCCCTTCTCCCTTTTCCTGTTCCTCCAAGTGTCCTGAATGTCTCATCATGTGATTTTTGTTTGGAGTGACCCTACTCTCACCTCCAGGGATAAGCTTCAGCTAGTATAAGCCATTTAACATATTAGATCCCAGAGTGTAGGGACTGATTCAGCAAAGGGCCCTCTCAGTGACCTCAGAACTTCCACTGGGGCTGTCATTATGCTCATATTATTCTCTCGGATGATAAATACATAATCCTGAACTGCTACAGTCATTTTTTTGTAGCAAGAGGAGAGCAGCCTGAAGGTGAAGTCAGTTCACTGAGAATACCTGTGCCAGGAAAATTGTAGAGAATCAAATGATACAGCAGACTTCTGGTTTCCCCAGACCAACCCTAATTCTATTTTTCCCCCCAGCTCAATGAACCAAAATATTCCCTAATTTTGTTATTTATTTGAATATGTGAGTTGGGTTTTCTGTGACTTATAACCAAAAGATTCCTAAATGAAAGTTTCTATATATATTCCAGGAAAAAATATATATATAATATTTTAATATCCTATTAATATTTATTTTTAAATAATTCCTGTATTTTAAATATTGTATCATTTAATATGTTATATATGTATTTATTTATATATAAATGAGTTTATTCTGAAATGTATAGTCTTTTCTGAATCAAGGCCTGAATGTTACTAAGAATTTTTATTTCTTCCTGTAATCTATTGCCTGCATATCATCTGTCCAAAGGATTTGACAGTGAAATGCTCAGACTTGATTGGTGCTTTTGAGGATTGTCACAGTCCTTTTGAGGACTGTGCCTATTACCTTTGTGGTACAAGACTCACTCCTAAGTATTTTGAACCACAGACCAATTAGGCTGACATATGTCAGTGTTCTTGTAGGTATGTTTCCTGTTTCCTGTTTGCAAACGCAACTACAGAAGATATAACTGTAACAGCCTTACATAAAGTTTTTAGCGAGCTGTCAAATGTTCAAGTAAAATACTCACTAATTATGAGTGATCTCACTTGCAGGGCTGTTTATCTACTGGTGATAAAAATCTGTCGTGCTACTGAAAAAGGCTCTGAGATCCCAGGTGCCGAGTGACTGCATACTGTGAGTTACTTTTTTGACCTCTTGAAATGCCTGGGTTTTAAATTGTGTAAATTATGACTCAAAATGCAAAGGTGCTAGGTTAACCTAGTTAGGTTGTTGTGTGTTTGTATGTTTTTGTTTTGCTAAATAGAAAATGCTAGCTTGTATCTGTCATTAAAGCTTTGTCATGGGGTATCCATTTCCATTTTTCACTCTTGGTGAATTTGTTTGTTACTGAAAAGAAAGCTACACACCCATTAAATTTTGTAAAAAAAGAAAATCCTGTTCTCTTTTACGGTGACTCTGATTAAATGGAAACCTTACTTAAGTATAAGAGATTTACTAAAACAAAACAAAACAGATACGATCATGAAGTAAAAACCTGGCTTGTTGCTTCCTGGAAAAAAAGCAATATGTGCCCTCCTTACCTTCCAAATCGACTCATTTGGAATGGGAAATTGAAGAGGATATTGTGCAGCAAGTAGATGGGATGTTTTCTAATTCAGAGAAGATTCTTTTGAAATTCTATTATAGTATAATTAGGGCAGCAGCACCAGCAACAGTGAATTTCCTGTTAAGAAAGAAACATTATTACTTTTTTTTGTTGATATGGGTCTCAAAAGCTATCTCATTGAGTAGTTAGGAAATTGGCTTTTCAGGAAGGGAAATCTACTAGTATATGAATTTCTTGGACATTTTTCAAAATAAGCTAATGGCCTCAAATGAGAAGCCAGTCAAGATTTAGAGGCAAGGTCGTGTGCTTAAAGCTTGGTAATACTTTTCGTACCTATTTGGGAACAAGGCATGAATGTTAATCTAATATTTACTTGAACAAACAGTTTTGTATGAGAAACAAGTGGTAAAAAAATAAAAAATGAGAGCAAGAACAAAACCTTCATTTTTATTTTGCTGGTATTGCAGGGAAAAGAGGTAAGTTGATGCAAAATGAAACTTAAGTGTACTTAACTCTTTTCCATTCTACTTCCTTTTCCCTCATTAAAGTCTTCTGTGGTCTAATTAAGTATTAGATGAGCAACACAGCTCATCTGGATGTAACAAGAAAGTGAAAGTGAGAAATTTTTATTCCGAATTTGGTAGGCCAGTCCTTTTAATGAGATCTATAGAATAGTAATAAAATATTTGAAGGCATGTTAAGCAAAATCAATTTTTTTTTCCTCTCATGACATTGAAAGCTAAGTCTTAACACCATTGTATTTCTCCTGAAGGCCAAGATAGAACTGTGCATTTAAATTGGTAATGAGCAGGTAGCCTGAGAAGCTCTCTCTTCTTGTGATAATTTGGTTGAACTACTTACGGATATCACAACCCTAGATATGGCAGCAGCCATTGCTTTAGTTCCTTGAATCTTTCTGATATCAGACTAAAGCATAACAGGAAAATGTGTATTTTTGCCTATAGACAGTAAGCCTGAGTGTGATTTAACATAGGAACCTTTCCCCCTGACATGGAGGGGTACAACATCAATGTGATGTTATTGACGTCTGGTCACTTCTGCCCTTCCTGAAGCATCTGGGTCCTTCTCTGTGTCTGTGATCTCAGGGGCAGGTAATTCCTTGCTGTAGATTCCCTTCTCGAGTGAGCTGCAAAGAAGCTGTACTTCGCCGCTGGTCTACATGGAACAAAGAGAGACCACAGGAGTTCATGCTGCAATTTGCAGCATCTGCCAGATCCAAAGGACAATTTGGATAAGAAATTGACAGAAAAGCTCTTGGGGCAGTGAAGAAGCCACTCCCGGCTTGAGACTGTTGGCCCGAGAGATTAGTGGGCAAAGCAGGGATGAGGATGACCTCACTACCAGAGGCTACATTTCCTAACTGGGGCTTTCCAAAAGAATGGCCTAACTTAGCAAATACTGCCCAAATGTCCTGGGCTTTTTGGAATTTTGTTGAAGAATTCCAGACAGTCTAGTAAAAATTGCCTAGTGGCAGAGATCCAAATAGCAATAGATAGGAAGAATGTATGTAAAGAAGTTATTTTAAAGTTAAGCATGTGAATAGACTCTAGGTATGCAATTATTACTGATTTCCTGTTGTTTTGGTGTCTATCTTTAGACCCTTTAAGCCAGTATTGTTTTGTCTGGATCCCAAGAAATCTGTACTTTCCCCAAGGTTTCCTATGTGACTAGCTTCTCAGTTATAGAATGTTACATGGAATACATTTTTCCTCAGTTTTTTAAACTAAGCATTTCTTTGCTCATCCTCTTCTAAAAAATGAAAGCTGAATTTTAGTCCTCTTAGCTTGGGAGCTCACTACTCTATTTCCAATGCCCCATAAATTCCTCTCTGTTAAAAAAACCCCACCTATTTTGTCAATAGAACACCTTTCATTTAGGAACAATATGGGAAGAGATTATTTCAGAGGCTGAGAACATAAGATTTCAGATATTCAGAGGATAATTAAAGTATGCTTCCAGATGTTTTCAAATATAGCCATAGAAACAAATACTGATTTGATTCCCTGCCAACCATCTTCTACCCGGTCATGTTCTTAATTCCAAAACAGCTAATAAATTCAGTGAAAAACAAAAACAAAAACAAACTGGTTTTTATTAGTGTGTAGAAAAAGGATAGAAAGAGAGCGGTTTATTTCCCAGCAGTTTTGCAACAAGGTCTTTTACTGTCATAGAGACATAGGAAAATGTAGTTTGCTGGAGATAAATGATGATTTCAATTAACCAAAAGGTGTTGACTAAGTATCTACTAACTAGGGAAGAATGATAAGATATAACATGGACTTGCATATTTGGTAACAGATTATGTTCCTAGAAACATAATTCATTCATTCAGGAAATACATATTGAGCACTCACTATACGACAGGCACTGTGCTTGATGACGTGGACATAAATAGAGTCAGGAAAGCATGGTTTCTGGCTGCAGATGGGTGGGTGGGGCTGGAGGAGATATTAATCAAATAATTACACAAATGAATTTTACAAATATGGTAAATACTATGATGCAGAATAAAAGAAAACCACAGAGAACTATGAGACTATAGAATGCAGGTATCATACCTAGTCTCAGTGGCGATCAGGAAGGCTTCCCTGAAGAAATCTGAAGGTGTTAGGGATGGGGAGAGGACTCAAAGTAGAAAGGAGCATGGAGCTTACTAGGAACTGAGCCAAGGCCAGTGTTGCTGGATAGCAGGGGTCGTGAGGGAATGCTAGAGAGGCGGCAGGAGCCAGGTCATGAAAGACGTAGTAGAGAATGGACAAATGAACAAACACGAGTAGTTTATGATAAGGAGTGAGTCCTATTGCCTCCTGTTATGGTGTAAAAATAAAAGGAGTTTGCAATTGTATAATGACTACTGTTTGAGAGAAGATACACTCAGCCAGTAAATACAAGATAAAATCCCTGTGCCCATGGGTCTTAAATTCTAGTGGAACACATAAATAATATACCAATAAGCTAATATATAGTTTTATAGTAAGTTTTTATTTGTGAGTAAGTAGTGTGGGTGACCTTTAGGGGGAATTTATTGATTTCAAATATATATTTGATTTATTGATTTCAAATATATATTGTATTGCATCTAAGTATGGTTATGCTTCTGTTTAATTAAATAAAGGTATATGCTCTAGCAGTCCTGAATGAAGCTCAAGTCAGGTGTTATTCATAGCACTCAATTCACAAAGACTTGGGAGAAATTCCAAGAGAGGGAAATGGTGGACTTTGTATTAGTTTGTTCTTGTTTCTGAGGACTAGTGATACCACTGTCGTCCCTGCACCTCTTTCTGGAGTGGGGGGAGGAGGATGAGGAGGAGGTGAGCAATGTAAAGACAAACGAAAACAACTGAGTTTAACACTGATGGAGGAGAATCTGAGAGGGAGAGCATTTCAGAGTCTGTTTCTTCTTACAAAAACACCTTAGTATCCCTTCTTAGACACTTAATATACTTTATAGATTCTGAACATTTAGCATCTCTAGAAAAGGTTCACATCTTATAATCAATGTACGTATTTAAGGAGAGGGATGTCTTTCCCACATTCCCAGAAGCTGTTATTTGATGTTGCTTCTTAAAATCATAAATGACTTACCACTGAGAAAATCATACATACCTGGAACCTTGTTTGAGGTTTTTGTTGGTGCCTATCTGTTCTGAAGATCTGCCTGAAAACTTCCTGATGTGAACATTTGCATAGAAAGTATTACTGATGTCAATGGAATTAAACCAGGGCACCTGTGAGGATCACCTTCAGGTCTTGGTTGCAGAAGTCAGAGGGTGCCATGTAAGTAGTTCCTTATATCAAAGGGAGGCATAATTATTTATTTTAATCTTCAGGAACTTCCTTCTTTCTGACTTTCATATTGTATGAATCAAAGTGATTATTTCTTTATATGCTGTCTTAGTCTGTTTAGGCTACGATAACAAAATACCATAAACTGGGTGACTTGTAAACAACATAAATTTATTTCTTACACTTCTAGAGTCTGGAAAGTCCAAGATTAAGGTGCTGATAAGTTCAGTTTCTGAAAAGAGCCTACTTCCTGCTTCAGAGATGGTGCCTTCTCACTGTGTCCTCACATAGTGGAGGGAACAAATGAGCTGTCTGGGGTGTCTTTCAAAGGAGCACTAAATCTAACTTCGTGACCTCATCACCTCCTAAAAGCTCCACATCCTACTCTCATCACCTTGGAGGTTAAGATTTCAACATAAGAATTCTGGTGGGGGGGAGGGGACACAAACATTCAGACCATAGCATATGCCAAGAGTCTCAGACCTTGGAGGAATAATGAAGATAGTGTTAGTATGATCCTTTAGTATAAGCTTGTTCAACACAGAACTATTGACATTTTAAGCCAGATAATTCTGTTGCAAGGAGCTGTCCTGTGCATTGTTGAATATTTAGTATCTTGGTGTCAGTAGTATATGTCACCAGTCACGACAGCCATCTCTAGACATTGCCAGACATCTCCTGGAAGGGGCAAAAATCACCCTTAGTTGAAGACCACTGCTTTAGTACATTATAGTCAGTGACTCACAATGCTGTGTTTTAGCTTTGTATGGTAGTCATCTTGCAAACATGTCCAATTCTAAATGCATAGCTTTCAGTTCAACAAGATGGAATCTTTACAGTTCTAGAGTTCTTACATCACAATTAAAAATAATATTATGAAACCAGAATTAGAAGACTAAAATCATTAGATGTTTACTTAGCCAAGCATGTGAAATCCTAACACGATATTTTTCTAGGGGTTATATACTTTGAGAGCCTTGTTTTATTAAAATCTTATTCAATTGTACTCTCAAAAACTTAGTGGTTCAACTATTTTTTTAAAAGATATAGTTATGGGAATCTTAATGCCACAGAAGACTCTAACTCAGTGGCAAGAGCTAATAGTCTTTTGGTGACACATGGAAACTTACATGAGGCACATTTAATGAGATCAATTCTAGTTTTATAGGAAGCTGAGAGCAACAGAGAGAAAAAAAGTGTTGTTCTTGTGTCCTTTGGTGATGGTACTTGACATTTTGGTGTAAATTATTATAACAGTATATTGGTTTAATGTTCCCTTAATATCTGTAGTTTAACCAAATTTTCTGAAAATGGGAAGAATATGTTCTCTCTGTCACTATAACGCTAAGAAATGGTATTTCAAAATCACTTTACTCATACATGAGTAGATCTTCTAAAGCGGTATTTTGCTATGCTATGGTACATGGGAAGACTTCAAATTGCAAAAATTTACCTAGACATTTGACTCATATATGATGTCATTAATAAGATTATTTTTTTTAAATTCTATTTTACTGGTATTACTTACCTTACTTACTTAAAGGCTTCCTACCTGTTGAATATAGTTCAAATGAAGCCAATATTACTTGTAAAATAGAGCTTTTGTGTCACTCTCCTGTTCGGGAATATTTAAGGACTTCCAATTCTCTCAAAAATAAAATTCTAACTCTTTTTCATGGCATTAGAAGTCCTCTACTAACTGGCTGCAGTCAACCTTTTTACGTTTATCTCCATTACTTCCATTTGCCCTGTCCCCATGTCATATTCCAACCACAGTGAACTAGGTGGCTCAGGGTATCCTTGCACTTTTTTGCTTCCATTACTCTTCTGGTGTTATGATCTCTACCCCTTACAATTCTAATCCACCCTTAAAAATCATTTCTTCCATGAAACTTCCCCAAATTTCCTCAGGTGTAATTAAACTCTCTCTTTTTATTTATAGTGCTTAGAAAGCACTAGAATAGTGGTTTTCAAACTATCTGGGGGAAGAGCTAGATTTATTTTTTTAATTTCCAATTCATCACAAGCCAATATGTGTCCTCCTATCCATGGAGATCCTGCCACATGAAACTTAACATACATATTTGATAATATCCAAAGCATTCTATACCCCATTCAATGAGACAAGTTCACTTGCTCACACATTTGGATGTTACAGCAATGTCTGATTGCTGTAAAAGTTTCTCAACAATTACTTGCAATGTCTGTACTTGTCTTGTTGCAATCTGATGAGATTGGTCCACAGACCACACTTCACATAGCACTGCCTTAGACTCTAAGCTCCATAAGGACAGAACCTAGAGCTGCTGTTTTTCATCATCATAATTCCAGCACCTGGCATTGCCCATCACATAGTAAGCACATTTATCACATGTGGAGGTTCTGTAAGTAACAGTACCTGCCTCCAAAGTAGCTTGAAGCAGATCTTGATCATAGTTTTAGCACCTATAGAATACTCATGCCTTACCTATATCAGAAAATAGTAATGAATGAGAATATCAGACTGATTTATATTAAAAGTAGGTGCCCTTTAGTATAAAATCTACTAAAATGAAATATAACCCTAGCTTCCTATTGCTGGTATGACCTTTATAAATGAGGATCATTTGATCAATGATTTATTTTTCTTTCACTAGAAAGCTGCAAAAATTCACTTAACTCAAGTTCACTTCCGTAAAATAAGGGGACCTTAAAAGAAATCTAAAACAATTAGCGTGTTAAATGGCAGTGTTGTCTGAGAGAAATGTGTTCCTAGGACAAGAAAAACCCCACAAAAACAAAACTATATTTAAAACCAGGATGAGTTTCTTTTATGCAGCTCAAGGGAATACATTGAAACTCTTAAACAGTCTGAAATTGTATTTCTGGAAATGAGAATCACATGGAGTTAATTTAGCATCTACCAATGTAATTTCTACTGGGAAAAACACCTGGGACATGAGTAAAATTTTTCAAAATTTAAAATGTAAGATATTTAGACAAAAGTACCTGACAGTACAATTTGAACGTATCTCTAACTTTCAGTAGTTCAAGAGTGTCTTTCTTAAATGGTAAGAAGTCGCAGTTGCATGCTCATAGTTTTCATTGAATGTTTCATTATATTAAAGTTAGCAGCCAAGAAAAACAAGGTCATTTACTATATGTTTTTCCCACCCTTATTAGCCATTTACTTTTCCATGGAACATTTGTTATTTCTGGGAAACATATGGCATATGACCAGAACCATAATTAGTAACAGTTTGATGTTATAGGAATTCAAAATTTAGTAATTTCTAGTTTTATTAGTGGCTTCCTGTGAAATATAAAAGCAGTAAATACAGATCCTAAGGGTACATTCTGGAGTCACGCTTTACATATATTAACTTATTTAGTCATTGTAGTAACAGATGAGAAAAAGGCACAAAGACATTAATTTACTCAAAGTCACTTAAATGGAAATTGTGCAGTGAGGATTCACCCTAGGGAGTCTGGCTCCAGGGTCTGTGTTATAATGTTAATACAGCAGTGTCTCTTGTGCAATATTGCTCTTCTAAAGAGATGAAAACTTCTGGAATTCCATTGGTAGCATCCAGATGAGGAGGTTATTTTCTTGCAGACTATTTCTGTCTAATGCTTACTTAGCTGGGAAATGCTGGGTATCCGGGGAATGCTGGGTAGTCAGGGAATGCTGGGTAACTGGGGAGAGGGGCAAGAAGTCATCAGCAGCTCATCCTGAGCAACTTTCTAGCATCTGTAAACAGAACAGTTATCCCAGAATCTGGGACTGGCCTTCAGTGTTGGTCACTGTCACACAAGATCCTTCAAATCAGTATTATCTTTGAATCAGAAAGAGGAATATTTGTATTTTGCTCCAAATCTTTAAGTATATTTAAAATTTACTATTTTTTAGCACTCACTAAATATACATATACAGGAGCTAAGAGAAGACATATCAGGTAAATAATGTTGGTTATTTAATAGTTTATTTTTTTATGTAAGACTTGAAGACTTTGTAGGGGATTGGGTTAACAGAGAACCCTTAGACTTTTTAATAGGAGATTTACCACTGAGTTCTCATACATGTCTCAGCCAGGGCACAGGGGTGGGGTACTCATTTCTGCTACTTGCTCAGGCTGATTATTCAAAGAAGTAATGCAAAGCATCTCATCAATATCAACATATAGCTTTTCCCATTTTGTGTTACTAATGCAGTTATTAAGGACTGAAATTGCAATATTGCTTAGCAACATGCATAATAGTATTTACTACTATCTTATTCGAGTATTATATTTGAGCAGCAGCAGCAGCAGTAAGTAGTTTGTCTTGTCAACATCCTGGTGGGTACTTTCATTTTCCTTTTCATCCAGCATTGCGTGTATCATCCACTGCTATGATAATAACCAAAGTGCTTAGTGTGTGGCTTGACATGGGGTAGGTTTAGGTATACTCCCCGAAGTCCAAATAACAACCCAGAAAGCTAGCATTAGCCCAGTCTAGAACCAAAAGAAAACGAGGCAGAAGGTAAGAAAAGGGAGTAAAGGATTCCTACAATTCTCATGTTCTAGATGAGGCTTCTAAAAATATGCCACAGTGGTGATGTCACCCTGTGAGATGCAGGGACTTGCTGTAATACTGTTGAGGCCACTTGTTTTGTTGTCTCTAGTCTTTCAGGTAACAACTAGAGTCCATAATAACCCAAAGTGAACATAATCTCTATTTCCTCCTAATGAAAGGCAACACTTTCACTCATGACAGTGCTAGCCCTCCCTGTCATTTATACTTCGTCTTGTGTGCAGGAGAATGAATTGGTGTTTGGGAGAATTTGAGCTGGATGGACTTCCACCCATGTCCTCCTTTCTTCTCCAAATTAGAATCCCAACTGGCATCTGAGAACTCTGGCATTCCCTTACTATTTTCCCTTTTTCTCCACAGTCATCCTGGCTTGACTGATCTCTTAACTCCTGGTATTCTAATTTGACTTCTGCTCTGAGAAGAGCAAGAAATCTCAGGAGTTAGGGCCATCTTGCAAGAAAGACTGTTTCTAAAGAGACAGTTTTAAGAATGATTAAATTTGTCTAAGAACAATTTCAAGAAGAGAGAGGGGCCAACCTTCCCTTGTACAAACAATGGGGGAAGAATCAGTTTGCCACTAGAACAGAGGCAGTCCTTTCACCCTGGAGGGGAGAGATGTTCCACTTGGGATTGTCATGCAGTGATTGATGTCCTTCCACTCCAAGACACGTGCAGGTGCTTCGGGGATTTGAATCAGTAACCGGATGGTTTAATTCTTTGTCCTTCCTGGAGAGGGGTCCTGAATGTGTACATCTTCCTCGTGCAGTTTCAGCTTTTGATGCTTTCCACATCCTTGGCTTTGCTTTTACTTTGTTGTGTCCTAGAATCACTAATTAATTATGGACCTCGTTCCTTCTATGCACTCGCTAACTGGGTGTTTTGAAAAATTGCTCCATGCTGGTTTAGATAATGAGAAGAAAATGAAAAGGCTGAGAGATGCTGGGAAAGACAGAGAGACCACAATGGTCATGGAAGTACAGCAAAAAACACCTGACATATCCGTTACCCCAGTAACCAGGGAGGGGGACAGTCAGTTACTGGGGCAGAGAGGTTAAAAAAAATACAACTCATGATGAAAGGGACAGAATCTCAGTGAGAGATGTGCTGCAAAATAAAAAAAGAAAAAAGAAAGGGACAGGCTCATCAGGAGGGCGTATTTTTGAGGAGAACATTTGTGGGGCAGGCAACCCTGGCTGGAGGGTGGACTGGCTGGGCAGCCCTGGCTAGCCGGTGCCTCCTGTGGGGTAGGGACATCCCTGCACGCAGGGCTGGGACTGTGGAGTCCAGCATCCTGACATCTGTGTCTGGACTTCTTTCCTAGCTGTGGGATATGGAACAAATGACTTTACCTCTCTGATCAGCCAGTTCTTCATCTGTGACATGAAAAATAATCGTACTTGTCATAGAGTTGTGGTAAGGAATAGCGAGATCAAGTTGGTTAGAGTGTCTAGACGACTTCCTGGCATATAGCAAACTCTCAGTACCAGCTAGTCATTATTATTATACATTTATGTGGTCAATTTAATGATGTCATGATAATAAATTATTATTAACATAGGTAATGGGCTTAGTCTGGCACAGGTCAGGATTTACAATACA